GTGATAACGATAAATTTCATCCATGTTCTTCTTCATGCCCCCATGCAGCGCCACTTATTACAGTATTGTTGACCCACCAAATAAATTACGTCGAACTGAACTGAAGTCCTGTCCTTGAATCCGGAGTTTGCAGCCTAACATTGGCATTGACTACTTTGTGGCATTCGTGTGCTGCTCCGCCCCAAACCGCAGCGCGGAGTATCCGAAGCAACATTGTCTGCTGTTATTCATTGTTTGCTTACGATTAGTGAACTATCGTCCCTCATCGCGCAATCGAGCGGTACCTTACCGCATTGTTTACACCATTCCTTCGTCAATATTTATTCTTTAATTGCGCCGACTGTTGGTTGCCGTCAATAAGGCTGTCATCTGTGTATTCGAAGAGAACGCGGCAGGCTTTCAATAGTTAAGTCCGAATGGCCAGCTATTTACACGTTGGTCAACGGGTAACGACCGGATACAGTTGGTCGGCTTACATAGCACTTGAAGTACGCCGTAGAGGCCCTTGCCTGATTGCGCTGTCCTGAAGGATATTAAGCAGATTAATGTTGTTTAATTGCAACCGCTCTTCATCGGCGTACAGATTGTTTATTAAGCGGCTATGAAACCTGTTATTCTTTGGAAGCTGGAAGCCTTTTGCCGTTTCTTGGTTACCGACGAATTAGCTGGAAACTTTTATCCACATTCCTTGGCCCCGATATCTGTTTGACTAATTACTTTATGTATGCAGAAGATGACCACAATGTTCTCAGGAAGCTACAGCAAACAAGTTTTCCAATTCCGCCGGTAATCGTACCATTTCAATTTCTGATACCGGATTTACTCAGTGTAAACGCACAGTCCCCATGCTTCTTGTCATCTGGGGGGGGACATTTAGGTCGATCACGGTTACTGGACATTTGAGCGCTGGCAGTTCATTTAATGTATGAGCTCGCTTGACGAAAATCTCGAACGCTAACTTAGATTCGAAGGTGTATAATGAAATGGAGTATTCTGATTCAATGATTGGTGCACAAAATCGGCGAAAAGATTTCTAACTAGTAGAAGTTCTAACAGCGATGAATTTTGGATCATATGACAATATAGTCCATAATCCATACTGCGGCTTAATCTTGGTGCAAATGTCT